AGTAGTAACAACCAATTAATTACTCTGATTATAGGGTTTAGACTTGTTGGCAAACTTAGGCTCTTATACAAATTATTAAGTTGTTTAAGACTAGTGACGAAGCCATATAGGGGCAAGAAGGGGCAATTTCCCTCTTAATCTTTTTTATTTCAAAATACTTTTTATATTAAAATATTAATAATATCTTAATATGTTTAATTTTCTTCGCTAGCCACTAATTGACCCAGGTTAGCTATTATTAACTTATAGTCTTATATATATATATGGCACATTTCACTAAACTTTTCCTTTTTCTTTCTTTTTTTGCCATTAACTAATCGAGAGTTTTTCTTTTTTTCTTTCGAGCTACTATCCCTGTCTCTCTTCTTTTTGTAAAATTTCTCTTCAAATCTTAAATTACAAATTAGTTAAGTAAGTAACCTCTTATATTTTATACTTTAGGTAAGTTTCCTTCATCTTTTCTATTTTTTTCGTTGTCTAATTTTAGTTTTATTTCTTTATAATTTTTTTCTTGAAGAAGTCGATATATTAAAAAGGCTAATCAAAAGGTAGCTAAAAGCAAGATACAAGAAAAAAACAAAGAAGAAAACAAAATAATACAAAAACAGAAAGCATAATAACTAATTATTCCTTTACAATTAGTTATTGAGAATGTTAGGGTTTATGATAATTTAGGGGTTTGTTGAATTAATACGTGTATGAGTAATATTATATGCATATGGATATAAATTGAAATGGGTTTTAATAAATTAATATTTATTTTTCTATGAATTTCATATGGAAAATGATGATAATGAACTTATTAGTGATTAAAAATGAAGTATAAGACAACTAGAAAATTAGGGACATAATAGAAAAATTAATAAAAATACTTAACATTTATGTTTAACCCACTTATAAAAAACAATAAGTTAGCAAGAACAACATCAATTTATCATGACAATCCTTTTAAGCTATGATTTTAACTACTCTCTACTATACGTCAATATAGAATTGTTGCCAAAAACTTCATTAGTCCTTGGAAGACTTAGAAAACACAAGCATTGAACTCACCCTAAATTAAAAATAAATGAATAATAGTTTGGTTGTATATATTAAGAAAAATATCTTTGATGAAATTGATAATGAAGTTATTATAAAGCAGTTTTAAAATATAAAAACTCGAAGAGAACAATTATAATCTAAGTAAAACTCAAAAAGAACAATTATAATATAAGTTTCTCATTTTAAAAGTATTCTTATATTAATTTTACTTGATATGAATTAGTACATATATTTCAAATTGATTTCTCCATATCGTGACATATATTTCAAATTGATTTCTCTATATCGCGTATGTCTATATAATACATAATATATAATATTAAGTATTTGTTAGTAATTTTCCCTATCATTTGATAAATCCTAGCTCCTTCATTGTTTAAGACATATCTCACCCTCAAAAGCTAGCTTTTAATAATGAGATAGGCCTAAAACAACTTTAAGAATGCTTATATAAAAGGTATTTTAGGAAAATAAATATTTTTATATTTCTATTCTTTATTATGATGCTCTCCTATTTTTTTCCTTATATTTGAAGGACATATTTTTCTAGTTTATTATTCCTATTAAATATTATTATGATTTTTTAGCTTTTTATACATAAGTTGTAATAGCAATTTAGCATGGATGGATAATAATAAATAAAATTAAGTATTTTAATAGTCTTTATATACCTTTGATATTTTTTTTTTATCTTTAATGGTTTTAATATGTACCAAACCTTTTTTATCCTTTGCTCATGTCTGTGTCACTTAATGAATAAGTTTTTCAGCATAGACTTTATGCCAAGTTTTATTCTCTAACAATGTATATAATTATAAGGTTTTTCTAGGTGACCATAGCCTAACTAAGACTCTAAGAGTTTGTTTGGAAATACGAGTCAACTCACGTTTCTAAAAAATTCAAATTATTTTGCTAAAAATTAAAAAAAAATTGTATGTTTTAGATCATTTTGATATACTAATCTTAAAAATAATTTTAAAAATAGCTGCAACCAACCATGCTCCAAAAAAAAAAAACTCTAATTACCTACCATGTTTAAGTATAAAGTGACTTCCAGCTTCTCGTTGTCCAATACATGAAGAATAAATTGACACAAAGAGTTATCTATGGTTAAGTATCAACAAAATGCACTAGCCCACTTTTCTTTCAAAAATAAATAAAGATGAAAAATTGATCTTCAATGTTAATATCCCTTAACAAGAAAATGGCAAAGCTAACATTTTTTCAAAGTTAGCTATCATTTTTTTTTTTTTATTTACGTGGGGTATCCGGTCTAGCTTGCGCGCACCATGACTAATCCTCACGGCCCACTGGATACCCTGCAAACCAAGTAGACATGTAAGGCACCGCGGGGGTGACAGACGTGCACGCCAAGGCTCGAACCCAAGTGCAGTGGAAAGAGACAAGCACCTTCTACCGCTAGGCCAAGCATTGGTATGCAAAGTTAGCCATTATTAATAATGTGGAACTCCTCTTAATGCTTTGATAAAAGTTTTTGAATAGCCCAGCATTAAACAAGCAGAAGAGCTCACGGGCATCATTTGACACCATAGAGTCGTTCATGGTCAAGTGTATTAACAAAATGTCTTATCCCATTTTACCTCTAAAAACAAAGATGGAAAGTTAATCTCTATTACTTTAACACTAATTTTTTTCAATCTTATTATTCAATTTAAGATAAAATTTATTTTATATTTTAATTTTAATTATTATTATTTTAATTTTAAATTTTATAATCCTTTTATATAATTAAAATTATTTTTAAAAAATTGAATTTCATAGCTTTTTTAGACATAGTACTTTAATTTTAATGATTCAGATATCATATTTGAAAAGTTAACAGGAATTAATATTTTTTTTATAAAAATAAATTTTATAATTCTTTTTATTTTTTTATTAGATTTTTTTAATTTTAGAATCTAAATTGTATGGAATATCCCAGATTATCCTAATAACTTATCTTTTTAAATTTAATCTATTTATTTTAATTTTTAATTTTTTTAACTAATTAAAATAAAACTAACTTATTTAACTTATTCAAGCATATAGTTAAAATCATGTATTTCTTTTAAAAAACAATATGCTTACAAAAAAAATAATGTAGCACTATACTGGAGCGCGAACATCGATCTTGGTTGGTTGCTAATTCCGAAACACAAAGAGAAAAAATAAAATAATTGAGTGATATTAAAAGTGGTGTGTCCAATAAGGGCTCGTACAAGTAATGACCCCCTGAAATGGTAGCAGTTAGGGTTTTTTTTCCTTCTCTAAATTCATCTTTGTTTTTTTTTTCATAGACAAGTTCAAAAATATATATCTTTTAAATCATCACCTTATAAATACAAGATATGATCCCAAATTAGTTTTAACCTCCAAAATATCTAAACAAATATATTTTTCAAGAGATAACTCCTTGATTAGATTTGGTTGTTTAAAAGATATTTGTCATATTGAATAATATTATCAATATTTTTTATGGCATGCATAAGCGAATATAAAAATAATAATAGACAATTATTTGTTTTTCTTTCGAATTAGATAAGTCATTCGTGAATTGAGTATCTTACAACGTTAACAACAGGTGAGGAAATAACATTATTCCAATTTCTTTTTTGAATAGTTAATGATTCATCATAAAAAATGCTAAACATTAACAAAATATAACAATAATAAAGTTTAAGAATGCATATGTATCATTGAATTAAAAAGTTTAAAATGGGATCCAGCTCCATAAATCAAATAATTTATATGTATTCTTGAACTTTTTACTTATTATATATTTTTTAAAATATTTAGCGCGCATCATTCATTATTTATCAAAATTCAAGGGGTCCTAGGTGGCTGGATCATTGTTTTCCATGCTTGAATAGCAATCTATTCACATATCCTTTCTTCTAGGATCATAATGCAATTTAGAAACAAAAATCATTTTTCTTTGAGGTGAATTATAGTCCAAATATCCTAATATGTATCGATAAAAAATAATTGTAAAAACCTCATTAAAATTTCTCAAAACTATTAGAAAATAATATAAATTATATATTGAGATCTCATACAAAAACTTAAGCTTTTAACTTAAGATGTTCTTTAACATAGTATTAGAATCTTAATGATCAAACGGTCATAAATTCAAATATTACCATCTCCATCTATATAATAAAAAAAATCAAGTACCAGGTAATATATATTTGTGATAAAAAGTATGATTTTCCATCTAGTTTTCATTTTGATTAAATTTCTAAAACATCAATAAATTCTAAATTAATTTCCTCATGCAAATGTTAGTTTAACAAATTAAATGGTTAAATAATCATATACAAACTCATGTAATTTCTCTTTATTTATATACAAAGGACCATGGAATCTTCCATGATTTTGCCTTTGCGTAATTGATAATTTATGTAATAGTCAGATTATTTTTTTCTAACTTTTCTTATATGGTTTGCTCTATCAAAAGATTGGAAGCACTTCAGCGGAAAAAGAGAAATTATCTTCCTTTCACATGAATACGCAATGGTTTTTTTCTTAACTAAAACTAGGAAAGGAATTTATTGAGAAATCATCCATTGGTAGTTGAGAGTTAATCAAGATAAAATAAAAGAAGAAGAAGAAGAAGTTTGCGACCTATCTAGTTAAGATTGATCGTATTGGCTTGGGATTTTTGTCGAGGCTTGCCTAAATTATTTATGATCCAATTTTCCGACGTGGACCCCTAATGGACCCAGTCATCTCTTTGGACTGCTGAGTTCAGTTCAAGTGGAGGCAGGTCCCAATCAAGTTAAGAGTGCTAAGCTGTGAAACTAACGAATCAAGAATATCAACATGGATGGTCCAACCACCCTTGTCAACTTCAATTAACAAGATTACAGTGTAGTGGACGCGAAGAAACAAAGTAAGTAAATAAATGAAAAACAAAAAGCCCCATGATTTAATTAACAACTTCCTTTGAAGTAAGCAAGCACATTAACAACAACCTCTTATAATTGATAGCCAGCTCCTTGTATTAAAAGGAGCTAGCCAGCCCTCTCTTCGTCACCCCATGAATCCATTCATCCCCTGATTCTTACTCTTCTTTTCCATCACATATATAGAGTGGATATATATACATATTTTCAAGTGTAAAGCATGAACAGAGAAGAGGGCAGATTATTTGTGGTCAATGGACGGGCGGAGATTGATACAAGAGCACCATTCAAGTCTGTCAGAGAAGCAGTGGTCTTGTTCGGGGAAAGAGTTTTAGCTGGGGAAATCTATGCCAACAAGCTCAAAGAGGTTCTCACTACGTCTCTTTGATCTTCTCTATATATCTCTTATGTTTGAATATGTGTTCTGGCATCGAACACAATTTCTTTCCACGTACCAATCAAAGAGCTTCAGTTTCAATCTTGAATTTACTAAAACAGCACTTGTGTCGTATTTATTGCATATAAAACTTTAATGATAATGAATTTACTAAAACAGCACTTGTGTCGTAGTTATTGTATATAAAACTTTAATAATACTATGTTTTTTAATGTCATGTCTAGTAGTTGCCATTGTCTGTCCTTCTCTAACGAATTACTTTTTAGATAATGAATTTTTTTCTTCTTAAAACTATTCGCCAACAGTACTGAATTATAGAAAATTCAAGTAATAAACTTTATCCTCTTTTTAGATGTCATTAGAATCTCAAAACTTGCCACTAGAAAATAATTTTATTTTGCTAATCAAGGTACATTTTTTATCCTGCTAGATGCGAACAGGAGGGCGAGAGAATGGACAGGCTGCTCCCTCCAGATTTGGAGCCTTAACAGCTGAGCTTGAGGAAACAAAGCAAAGCCTCCAAAAAGCAAGAGAAGATGGTAACTTGATGACCTACAGTATAAAATCTCTAAGAGAAGAACTTGAAGAAACAAAGAAAGAGCTACAACGATTAAGGGCAAGAGAAAGAATGCATAAAAAACAACCAGTACTTGATGATCCAGAGATTGAAGACATCAAGTTCGTTGAAAATGCAACCAAAATGGAGATGATCAAGAACCATACTGGTATTGAAGAACCTACAGACTTTCAAAAGAAGAGAAGTGTGAAATTCGCTAGTCCTCCTTCATTGGCTAAGGTTATTGTTTCGAAAGAGGAAGTGCTAGAGAGACCTCACTCTTTTAGAAGGATGGCCAAGAAAAGGTCTCCAATCCCCCTTCTAGGATGGTTATTTTCAAAAAAGAAAGGAACCCAGGACGATGAGCCTCCTAGATAATATTGAGAAGCTGCTCGTAGATGGAAGTTTAAATTCTCGTGTGGTCTCCAAGAATGAGAAGTCTCCTTGGGCTTCATAGTAATGGCGGCGAGAAAATAACCAAATACCAATGCAAGCCACTTTTAGGCGTCCATTTCTTCGTGTCTTTTTTTTCCACGTGTTAAAAAAATTGTTTCTAATAAACTCAACACAATTTTGTAAGGTTGGAATTCTTTCTTTAATGTAAGGTTGTGAGATGGGTTTGGGCCTAGTTCCAGAAGTTTTAAAAGTTTGTAATAAAAAAATCCAAATTTTCAATCTTATATGTTGATTTCAGATTTTATTTTTTTTATTAAATGGGAAAGATATCATCAATTAACTTATACTGGATTTGTATAGCCTGCGTGACACCGCGAATTAGATTAAATGTTTTTAATAAAAAATAATTTTTTAAAAAAAATATAAGAAACTTAATAATCAAATTAAATTTTGATTAATTTCATAACATAATAAAAAATAAGATAATAACAACAAAAAATAAATAAAAAAAATCATTTTGAGCTTAGTTGAGTTAACACATGAATTCCATGACCCGTACATGGAATATGTTAATATTATATATCTATTATGCGTCTTAGATTATGAAATCAAGATATTTTGATAAAAAAATTGACTACAAATAAAAATAAAATTATAAAAAATAAATCAAGATATTTAATAATATAACACATGTCATTTACATGGTTGTATTTAGCGGCCGTTTAGTAATTAGGTTACATCTGCATTTTGTTTATAAGGTAAATGTAACCTGTTTGATAAAAGAAAAACATAGTTGACTGTTTATATCTCTCACAGTGTTTTTGCGTCTGAAATGCAGGGGAAAGAAAAGCAAATAATTACTGCTTCATGCACACTGTTCATGTTAAGTGCACTATTCAGTCAACGATGCAGTTAGTATCAACAGTGTAGCCAGCTCCATTGTTCCGGTCGAACCAGATCAGGTCTAGTCCAAAACTTAAATTAGTGTTTAACATTATTCTATAACACTAAATAAATTAGACAGAGATCGCTTGATGATATAACATTTACAGAATTTGATCGCAATTTCAATTTTGTTCCTGATTATATTATACTTGATGTTGTTGCGCGCTAAAGAAACAAAAAAAACTATAGTTCTTGTCGGATGTATTTCATATGTGATATAATTGTAGATAATTTAATGGAATAATAAAAAATATTATTTATTTCATGATGTAATAACAATAGTTAAATCTACAATATTTAAATTAAAAAACCATCAATATTAATATATATTTTTTAAAATTATTTTATAACCTTAATTTCAAAAGCATTATTAACCCAATACATTAAACTATTTTTTGTTCAATCTCAATTTCAACTATAGATTTAACCTAATACAGATAAATACCAAATCAACCTCACCTAAAGGACTTTTTATAAAAATAATATTTTTTAAACCACAACCATAACAGCTACCACAATATTAAGTATTTTTTTAATAAATTTATTTATAAAAATCAATTTGTAATAGAAATTGACAGATAAATAAATTTTATTGAATAAAATAAAAAAAATACTATGTAAGGTTGTATATATTAAAAATATCATAAAAATAAACATTTTTAATTTATAAAAATAAATTTAATTTATATGAAAAAAATAACAGATAAATCATATTGACCTCATGAAAAATTAAAAATACCCTACCCAATATAATTAAAAAATATTTTCTATTTAAAAAAAAGCTAAATAAGCCAAAAAAATGACATAAAAGGGGTATTAATTAAAAAAACTTAAAAAATTAAAAAAAAACATAAAAAAGGTATTAACAGAAAAAAAAATGTATCAAAAAAGAAAAAGCTCAAGTATCCTTATTTATACTAATCCTTTTAATTTAATCATTTTTTAACTAATCCAATTAAACTCTCCATAACTATTATTTATTTTTAAAAAAATTAAAGGGGCAAACCTATAATCCACCCATATTTTTTTGAAAAAAAAATAGATAGAAAAACACACTGTCCATTACGTGTTGTCTGCTAGCCTAGATCTTGGTCACCACTATGATATTGGAAAATAAAACATACATGTTGTTTTATCCAAAAACAAACCTATTTTTTAACATATGTTAACCATAAAACACCTTATAAACAATATTAGAACACTAAAAAACCAACCTATTAATCCATTAAACCCAAAAAAAGGTCTAAACCACTAAATTAAATAGGAAATAATATTGCATTCTTGGCATATATTTGATTTTTTTAGGTTACATTAAAGCTTAAAATAGTCACCATAAGACTTCTTTTATCTAATGGAACCCGTTATCATTAATTTTAATATGTTTGGTGGTCGGAATCGTCACTAATAAAGAATTTTCTTTTTCTTTGCTAGAATTCAACGACTCCTCTCTCTTTCCATAAAAAAATGAAAAATAAAGAAAGTCATTTTTTTTTAAAATGTGTTTTTTAAAAATTAAAAGGATCGATCACTTTATAGTAAAAAAATTAAGGACTAAAATGTATTTCATAAATAAATTTGAAAGCACCACCTATATTACTTATATTTTACACTTCAATCCTTTGTATTTTAATTCAGTTCTCCCTAAACAAATTTCAATTAAGTGCTAAATTTAGCTTAAAATTGCTCAATGCATAAAGCTCGAGAATAAAATTAATTTTTTTTTTAAAATCACTACTTCAATCCAAGTTGTTTGTGAGAGATTGAATAGTAATTTTGTATATAGTCAAAACCCTGTAAGATTTAGTTTATGTTAATATTAACAAAATTAATTTTTTTTATAAATGAATCAAAAGATGTAACCCTTATATCGATCTAGTATATCTAAAATAAATATTTTCCAACGTTGTTTTTAAAGTTTTGAATTTAAAAAATTAAGATAAAATATCGGCCTAGTATAGCCAGGAGAATATCTCCCAACACTGGTTTCAAAGTTTTAAATCTAGAAAATTAAGGAAAAACTATACCTCTTTCAAGCAACCCTTTAAAATTAGCATCGAGAATTCTCCTATCATATTCAGAAAATTAAAAGAGAACAAATTTTTACTATTCACAAGAGAGGTATTTTCAAATTGTTGCCAACTATATAGTTTTCTATTTTATCCCTAAGTTTCATTTGATGTAGTATTCCAATGCTTAATGTAAAGAGAGTTGCATATTCCGGCCACAAAAGGCTAACAACGGGCAAGTTCATTGGCATTGAGAGCCTTCCTAATGATCATAGATTTGGCTCAAAATTCGAATATGATGTTTGAGTTTGGATTGTACTAAAGTGAATCAAACCAGATTTTGAAACTCCGGATGGGTTTTATGAGGTTTCAGGGTTGATATTGCACTGTTTTAAGCCTACAAAAATGGCTGTTCAAAAACAAGGTTTTGGTGTTGGTGATCTCTCTCTCTCTCTCTTTTTCCTTCTCCTTCCTTTTTTCCTCCCTCCTCTTTTCCCTGCAATTGCAAAGTAATGTCAACAACAATTTCACCCACCATCATGCTCCATCCCACACCTTGCTGGAATCAACTTGGGCGTCATCAGTATCATTGAATAAGTTGTGGACTAAATACTATAGATAGATAAAGGGCTAAAGCAGTGTTGAATCTTGGACCAAACTCATCAATTGATATCGATTATCACACTCTCCTTGATTCTCATATGATGATCCATGTTCCTTGAGATTAATTAGAAGCTCCTCCCTTGCATGTATCCGCCACGAGAGGGTGATGCTAAGAGGCAGTCACATACGGATTTGAAGCTTTTTGATCATCCTTACAGCTATGAGGATGTTTTATTATTTTTTTTCTATTATTTTTATACCATCAGCAATTCCGTCTATGACAGTATGTGAGTAGTATATTACTATTTTTTCTAATACATTTGCATAAAATTATCAGAAGATAGGTTTTTTCTTTACTAAAATTTGCTTTCTGGTTATGATAAGTTGTTATTTAAGAAATAATTATCAGATATAAAAATATCACAAAAAAGGAGTCAAATTAATAAGACAAAAAGGTTTAAATTAAGGAGATGCATTTCTCTATCAATATTTAGAATTTTTTATATTTATTCTAGTTACTTTTAATTTTTATTGAATGGACAACATGTCTTAAAAAACTATATTTTTAAAAAAAATTGTGATAAGAAAAGGCAGATTTATATCATAAAATAATTTTGTTTCAATAAAATTTAAATTAGTTCTTTTTATTGAAAAAATAAAAAAAACTTATGACATATAATTAAATGAAAAACATTAAAGAGCTCTTCACGCACGAGATGTAATATTTTAATTTATGTTTATTTCTTAATTTTCTAATTTGATATTTGATTAACATTAGCACTTTTTTTGACATTTATTGATATATACATAATTCTCGATCAAATTTATTCAATACATGCATTAATTTTTGTTTTTATAATTAAGATCTTTTTGATGCAGAAAAACACATTTTAATCTTTTTACTTCCTTTTATTTTGAAAAAAAAAAAAACCTTCTGATGTCAACTAACTAATACGCTACAATTGTTTAAAAAATTTCCAATAAAGAAAAATATATTTTTTAATAATTTTCCCTCATATTACTGTAGCAAAGTGAGAATTGTTATAAAGAAAATGAAACTTAAAGATATGAGAAATCAGCATCTTAAATTTGGAAATCAAAATTTCCTCCACAATTTTGTAAATCTCACGTGTTGTCGATTGTTGGCTGTTATGGTAGTGTTATGGTTAGCCATAGGCGGCAGGAATCTGGCTGGTAGTGTCGTCGTGATGAGGTGGTTAAAGTCAATGATGAAGTTTTTTTTCATGGCTATCGGTGGTGATACTAATGTCGTTCCGCTGGTCTCTGATGGAGATTGCCAAGTGAGAGGCAGTGACGCTTTACAAATGGCTTTATTGGTGGAAGCTAGTGGTGGTTATGGTTTTAGCTTTAAGGGCTAAAGGGAGGAGGAGGGGAATGAGAGAGAGGAGAGTGGGAAAACAGGGATGCAATAAAAATAGGATTCTAGCGTTGTTATTAGAATCAGACTGAGTGATCGGTTCCGGACCAATCTAGCTTGAGGGTATGAATTATTTTGAAATTAACCCAATAAAAACCGATTTAAATCAAATTAAGAGTGTATTTGGTATTGTGATAGCTATTGTGATTGTAATTTTAAAAAAGTTGTTTTATAAAAAGTACTTTTAGTTAAGGTTGGTTTGGAAAAATAGGTGTTTGGTTAAAACTTTGATTGAAATTGAGATTAAAAAAAAATAGTTTAATGTGTTTAGTTAACAATGCTTTTGAAATTGAGG